GGAGGGCAGGGGCTATGATGGCTATTCATTAAGTTGTCTGCTTTGCATTAAGTGGGAAAATTCATGGACGTGGCGACTTCTCTAGTTGTTTTGTTCCGTCTGCGTCCATCGGTACCAATTCGGCGAAATTGAAAAAGCCCAGGGGGCCACCATCGAGCTAAAAATTTTCGTCTGTTCTTGCGGAAAATGCTACTAGAGCTAAACAAGTCTGTTTCAATATATGCGACCATTGCTGGAATATCATTTAGGTGTCGTGATCGTGTACGCAAGGCATTGAGCTCTCATTTCATATCCATTTTATTGGTGTACCCAAGCTGGTTAACCTAGGTCAGATGCAATATCATTTTCTTACAGCTTTTCCGAGAGGGCGTCCTCATGAATGTAAACATGAAAAGCGAAGATGCAGGCACCGCTTTTTTATCACTCCTCCATTTTTAACTAGGCAACATTTGTTTCCCATGTGTAGCTAGAATAAGCTTTTACAATGCTTTTAGGTCGGATCGGGTCATGATATGTCACGCCATGTTTGTGCAAACGCATTCACTCCTCAGCTTCTCTGGGATGGACTTCCTCAGTGGAGTCCATTCTTAACATTTCTGTTCCCCAAAAGGGTCAGGTCAGATAAGGTCACCGTTCGAAATTGGCGTACCAGCAGCTTGCAAGAACGCTACTTTTTTGCAATGTGCTTCTGACTTAGTTCATTTTGTCAGGCGCAGCTGTGGAACAGAAGTATTCCAGAAACAAAAATGCTCTTAGTGTGACCTAAAGGTTATATGAGGTCAAATTAGGTCAAATTTACCGACCATTCAAACAATAAAATTAAAGTGCTAACCGGGCGTATTTGACAAGCAGAGAGCTTTTCTGTGGTCATAAACAGTATGTTGTATATCTTCTGGTGCTTAAGATCGAATGGCGCTGGAAGATCGCGTCTACATTATAATCTTATATCATATACGTCTTCTCACGATTATACGCCGAGCAACGTTGCATATGCTACATCACTTGCAGTCTCATCGAGCAAGCAAGGCGAACTCAGCGGTGTTGCAGAACCGGCAATTTCTGAAACATTCTTCCACTGGACCGATAATTTTGAGATTCAGTCATTGAGCGTCTTTTCTTGACTACGGTCAGATTAGTAGGAAGCACGTACCTACCGGTTGTCTCCATATAGCCAAAATTTATTTCCCTCGCTGTGGTTTACACACCAGATAACAACATTTATCGCTGAACATGCTAAACCCTGTTCAAAACGTCCCCCCCCCCCCTCCGGCCCAACTTTCCCTACGTATACTGAGTTGACAGTAGTACGACATTCATATTCAGCATAAATCGACGACCGTTTGGATTTTCACGAAACTGGTGCCAAAGTAAGCCAAAAGTGCGCTCACAACACACGCAAAGGCTTTTTGTAAGGCATGGAGTGGTTTGACCTGCAGAGGTCAGGATGATCAGCCGACATGTGCCGACAAGCATGATGCGTGTTATACGCCATTCCATCGGAAATGCTATGCAGATGCCCAAAAACGTTCAAAAAGACCCTCAAAATGGGCCTAAGTTTAACAAGTCTCAAGATATCGTAAATGTCAACCCCCTGGCGCGCAGGACTGAGCTTACATACCAGCGGTATCTCGCCTGCATGCTGCCAGTACCTCGCCTGCATGCTGCCAGTACCTCGCCTGCATGCTGCCAGTACCCCGCCTGCATGCTGCCAGTATCTCGCCTGCATGCTGATAGCACCACGCCTCCAGCCTGATTGGTTCTTGGGACCCCGATTACCCACAATGACCGCACTCATTGTTGATAATCCGCACTCAAGCCATTGATAAGTTTAAGCTCCGGAGCCGAAGCCAGGCCAAATGTTCTATTGAGCACACCACGCATACACGATGAAAATAACGAGACTTCGACATGCTATGAAACAACAGTGGACACGATACCATAAGCCAACTGAAGTACTTGAAGGGACTCGATGCTTTGATCAGGGGTCGCTTAAGAAAGTGATTCCAAATAAGTATAGCGCTTTTGGCGACCACAAAAAGCTTTTCATCGCTGCACACAATACACCGAACTGACGAAGATACGGAGTCAGATCCGAATGCTCCAGGCAAACTATCAGCAATGGACGCTGGTGTAAGTAGCCATCTTGGGGACGGGTTGCAAGTTGATAGTGAAAAAACACAGTTCTTTCCCCCTACAAAAACTAAAAGACACTGGAAATGGGAAAGGAACCAGTCACAGATGATTCGAGTAATCTATCTTGTTATCAGCCAGAAAGGCACATTTCGTTTCACGGCGCGAGACGGGCGAAGTCCTATCAGTCGTATCGTTGTTCCCATGGAGAAAGTACTTGAATTAGACACGAATGAAGCTCGCCACCTTTGGAAATCCATATGGATTAGACGTCAATGCATTGGGCTATGCTCTACTCACGGGTTTAGCGGGAAGAGGTGAGTTTATGGCTGGCGTCCTAGCAAACATTCACGGAGGGCGCTGCCAAAAATGCGGAATATGGGCCGCTTCCACACCGACAATTTCAACCTCCAAAACTCGCGAATCCAAAGCAATTTACAGTTTTGGCGATTGTGACCAACGTATTACAAAACACGCAAATATTGTGGGCTTATTTTGATCATTGATCGTTGATCATTGATCATTGGTCGCCATGAGGAACACTACACACCTGTGAAGGGTGGCGTTGGGGCGATCTGATTTTATTACGTGAGTATAATGGGAGGCGAATTGGTGCGGACGGTCCAGCGTTGCAGAAATTTGAGGCTGGCCAAGCAGTCTGCAGCAATATAACTTTTGCCGAATGGTGCCGATTCGTCGTGCAAACCTCATGGGCAATACGATCACTGGTTGCAAAGCTATACGACCGTCAAAACAGTGACTGGCCAGCCCGGCCGGATCAGACCACTGCGGCCGCACCATTGTGGGCTTGCTGACGTCACAAGTTGCCCGACCTGCGGCCTTGAAATCATTCCGGTCCCGAATTCTGACGGTAAATACGCGTCACCACCACAGACTGCTCCAGCCACAATCGCTTGGGCAGAAATGATTCGCTGCGTCTTACTGATGTCGCTTCTGCGTGTGGGCGCTGAGCATATAATAATGACTATTTTTAGCTTGCAAAAATTGCGCATCCAAAGACATAGGAAATTGAAAAAGAAGACACCCAACCTTAGGACGCACCCAATGGCAATAACAAAACCTTAGCCTCAGGCTTCAGGCCTGTAAAAGTTCATGGACAGTTACATACCCGGAGGCGAACTTCTCAGCGGTCGGGCCTGGGACGGCAATTTTGAAGCGCAGCGACTCTGAAACATTAAGGTCATTGCCAACTGCTAGTTGTGCATCCTCAGACCTTACCAAATTCAGCTCCGTTTTATGAGGTTATGCCCACGCTGTTACTGAAGTCAGACTGTGAAGGACCGCCTCCCACCACCCCACATACCACGTCAATGATCCGACAATTTCAAAGGGACCTTTTTCATGTTCAGAAAGCGTTACGCGTAAGAAAAGAACAAAACCTACGTAACCTACAGAAACCTTCGTAACGACGGGACAAGCTGCGGTGTGGAGAGAGCCAGCATTCAAGCACATCAGGAGATACCGCAACTTTCTAAGCATGCTACCAAACAATACGCCTGTAGAGCCCAGGCCCTGGAAGAAGCCCGAGACTAGAATCAGCGTTGTTTTCTTTCAACAGTATCTTCCACGTTCAGTATCTCATCGACACGCCACTGTGCGTTAAGCCCGAGAGGAAGCACCCGTGGATTGCGTTCCGACACACAGGTAACTGGATTTCAGTAAGCTCCCAGGCCTTCCGGACATGAAGCGCCTTCAAGGCCGAGGCAGCCGTCGCCAGACCCACGTGATTAACAAATCCGGGCGCCCTTTCCCCGGCCAGGTGAGGCCCGACCGGCCGACAGAGCGGCACGGGTCATCAGCACGCCCAATCTCGGCCACGAGACGGGAGAGAAAGTGGCTCGGTCTTCACGCGCTGCCACCGTCATCAGATGGTGACAGTCACAGGCACGTGTTGCGCTGAGTGGAACAAGGGCTCGCTACTGATGCGCTCGTTATCAGGCCCACGGAACCGGAGTGACCTCCTCGGCTGCCACGCAGCTTAGTGGGACCGCAATGCGACCTCACAACTGGACCGGGCTTTGTTTACAAAAGCGACTTCACAAAGTCGATGAACGTCATGAATATGCGCGACGGCAAGAACCCAGGCGACTCGGTCAGACTCAACGATCCAAAGGAGGCCGCCGACAGCATTCATCACGCTACATTCACACCGAGCAAGGCGCCGAGGTGTTGCAACAGCAGAGCGCGATACATTCTTATATTTCCGCTTAGCGAACAGTCATTTGGCAAGCATCCAAACCGCCCTGGCCCCCATGGGCAGAGCGGCCGCCGCCACACCGCGGCAACGATTTCAGATAAGTGGGCATCGATTATAGGGGTCTCGGCGCACGTTCCGCCGGCACTCCGGCGCCAGGCCGGGTGCCGACGGCCTCGTCACGAAACAACGCCGGTGGTGGCGTGACGACCGCGATTCATCCGGCATAGCGGCGGGCGGCGGGCGGCGAGCGGCGGGCGGCGCCGCCGGCGCACGGCACAGCCAGCTGCACAACACGGGCGGCACCGCCGGCCCGGCCCGACAATGGCCGAGCTGTCCGTCTCCGGGCGCGCCTGAGTGGACGCCTCCTCACGCGCCCGCCATCCCAGGCCGAGTCCGCGCGCTGGCGCACTGGCCGGCGCCAGTAAGAGTATAAACGTCTCGCTTGGTCCGGTATGCGTCGACATCAGCTGATGCGACACGCGCTGTGCTCAGCTGACGCGGCCGTCTGTCGCAGCACGACGCTTCCGTCGCCGTGCCGGGACCTGCGCCACAACACGGGGGACTCAGCCGGCGGCGGGGGGCGTCAGCCGGTCCCGACGCCTCTCCCCAGCCGCTCGGTGACCGGAGTCCGGAGCCGGCCGCCGTGCGGACGTCAGTCCCCGCTGCCGTCGGGCGCCGTCTTCTCCAGCTTCGCCAGCCGGTCCTCGACGGCCGCCAGGCGGCGCTCGGCGTCAGCGGCGCGCATGTGCGCGTGCGTCTGCAGCTTGAGCAGCAGCACGTACGTCTCGGTGGCCTCGACGGCCGGCCGGTAGAGCCGCGGCGTGAGCAGCACGCGGTGCGCCAGGTCGTCCAGCACCGAGCCCACCTGCACGGCGTTGAACGCGCTGAGCGTGCGGAACGCCAGCCCGTGCTGGCGCGCAAACGCGTCCGCCTCCGGCACAGACACGGCGCGCCGCTCGGCCAACTCGGCCTTGTTACCGGCCAGCATGATGATCGGCTGCTGGCGCGCCGCCGCGCGCACCTCCTTCAGCCAGCCGTCCAGCCGCAGGAACGTCTCGCGCTGCGTGAAGTCGAACACGAGCAGCACGCCGTGCGCGCGGCCGTACTGCTGCCGGATGAGCGCGCGGAAGCGCTCCGACCCGGCCGTGTCGTAGAACTGCAGCTTGGCCGGCAGGCCGCGCACGCACGCCACGCGCGTGCAGACGTCGACGCCGATGGTGGCGCTCTTGACGGCGTCGGCGGCGTCGCCGCAGTACGTCTGCAGCATGCACGACTTGCCGACGGCGCCCTCGCCCAGGATCATGAGGTTGACGGCGCCGAGCAGCTCATCGTCGGCCGTCTCGCCCGACGGCGAGTCCATCGCGCCGGCGGTCGGCGCCGCCCCTGATCCGATTACGCCGCCTGTGACGTCGCCGACGGATGGCGCCTGGTGTCGGGCCGGCGCGGGGCGCGATACGCAGCAGCGGAGCGAGCGGCGCCCCGGCTCCGCCGCCGCCGTGAGGCTGTACAGCACCGCTCCCGCCGCCACCCGGGCACGACCACACGCGTCCACTCCGCCGCTCACGCTTATCTCGTCCCGCTGTCGGTCGTCAATGTACGGAGCGCTGCGCCGCCGCCCTCCGCCGACCTCGGCCGCCGCCCCAACACCGACGATTCCGCCAGCCGGCGACACGGATACTGGTGATCAGCTGACGGCGGCGCGGCGCGGCGGCGCGCGCGGTCACTGGGGCAGCGGCGGCTCCAGGCTGGCGAGTATGGGGGGCAGTCGGTCACAGACGACGCAGCCGGGTGTGCTTGCGTACCTGTAGGCAGATACGCCATTTGACGGTGAAGGCATGCAATAAGGCACACCACGGGGTTTCCTGGTGCAACATCCTAGTAATCCTGACGCTGCCCGTGGGGCGGCCAGGCTTCGTGACGTCAGGGTACTGGAGCTCACGAACGTCTATTTCAGTTAGGCGCCTGTCGTCACTGGTTGAAGGGGTGGTTGGCGAGCCATACGACCGACGCACGGCCCAGTTCAAGGCTGCTCACAGTGGCCTCATCTTACACGCTTGCTGCGACGTTGCAGTGTAAACTGATCGAGATTGCATACTATCGCCCGCGATTGTAGAATCGATGAGTGTTCGGGCATCGACATGCATCGTTGCACTGTCCCTGGTAGAGGCCCCATTACGAGTGGATCTAACGGCTATTACAGCACAACCACAGAGCTTTCTTAGCCCACCATTTTCCCGTCTGTAACGGTCTCTCCGCCCCTGGTCGACGGCCAACCGCAGCCGGATTACGAAATCCGGCCGGGCCGGGAATGCGGGCGGTCATTCTTCATGGGCAGACGGCGCCACATTTCTGCGGTGGCTGAAGCTACACGACGTGCCTGTGAAGAAAGGCGTGGGTGCTGGGTACAAGCAACAGGAGCTGTCTTGAGTGGAAGAGTGTTCCAGGCCTCCTGCTTCTATAAAGACGGCAACATTATCGATCCCTGCGCGAAAGTGCGCCGCAAGAAAACCGGGGTTCATTACACCTACCCAACAATTTCCCCACTGACTTCGCCATCAGCCGAGTGAAAAATTGGCTTCCGACAATCGGAAGGCTGCTTCCGGTTCGTGGCGTTCTCACTAGGGTTGAGTGTAGCATGTGACGTCACCACTGAAGGCGCATGCCCACGCTGTGAATGGGGTTATCATTGCCAATTGAGAACAAATTGAGAACGGGTCGCGAGATTCCCTCACTCTCTCGTTTTTTCTCCCCCCCCCCCCCCCTCCCCTCTCCCCGCCTCTTTCTGGCGCTGAGCTTCCGACCGAAAAGAAAGCCCTGAAGACTGGCGACAGCGCGGTCTTATCTGCGGCTGGTCGCCGCTCAGGTTATACCGGTGCGACGCCGGTGGTATAGCGGTCCACATCCGGTCCGCTCGAGCCTGATGACCAGCTCGAGGTCAGGTGAGACAGTGCACGTGCCCATTACACGCAGCAGTGGCACTCATGCCTACATAGCGCATGTGCCCGCCCGCCCCTATGGCGCTTGATCATACGGGTACACTGCCCCACCCCCAAGGTTCCCGCTGCCCCCTCCCAGGGTGGCTCGGAGTCCCAGTGGTCAAGTAGCTCTCCAAAGGTCGCACTGCTTTCACATTACTCTGGGCACCTCCCTTGGACTTGAACAGCGTGCTGTCATTGCCCGAAATCATTTAAGGAAAGGCACAATGATCCGTTCTTCCAGGACAACCGCAGTTTCGACAAGCAAGCTGGGAGATATGTGGAGATAGCTGCCCAGTGGCAAGGAAAGAGGCAGGCGACAAAAATGTACCAACACAAGGTCAGGGCCCAAAGTCTGCTTAAGGAGAGTGTTTCCTGTTTGTATGGGGGTTTGAACTGAAATAGCCATCTTACAGATCATTGGGCGCAGCTCACGGCACTGCCCTAAAACTCTCTTGTTACTGAGGTACAAGACCGCGAAGACGTGCATCCTATTTCATGTGGACTATTTTAAGATTGGGCAGACATCCATAACGCCATAATAATGCCCTTCAAATCCTGCCATTCCACCTGGTTATGCGGCGTTTCAAGTCAATACAAATATGATGGTCGATTCGCTCATTCCTGGCCTTAGTAAGCACGATTTCCGGATAACACGGCCGTGAACTGGCTCTCGACCAATGCTGTGCAAGCTATGCAAGATTCTAGCACGATTTGGTCATTTGTATAAGAGCCCTTTCGACGAGCATTGATCATTCAAGGGCTATGAAAATTCTCCTACATATCAGGGCTGTGCAGGAGAATGGATAACGGTGAGGCAGGAATACATGCACCTGGGAGGGAGGGGGGGGGGGGCAACGGTGTTGCCTTAATCCGCTAAGGGACCACTCTTTGGGGTATGCGCCGGGCGCCTGGTCTGGTTCCCTACCAGTGGGCCTCTCCGTCCACTCGTGGCTGGCGCATGCAGCCTGCCCCGGACAAGCGGGGCATCACGAGGGATGCAGTAAATCAGGCTCGCAATGCGTGCTCATTGAAACGAGCGGGGAAAAGATGTTCCCATGCGGCTACTCCTAGAGTACATGGATACTAACTACTGTGCCTCTGAACGAAAAGCGACCCTCTCTCGATTCGATTCGAAAGCGCGGAAAACGAAACGCCCGTCATATGGAAAGCATGCGGAATGCAGATTGATTGCAACAGCGATACTATTTCAGCTGGCTATTCAGTGACCATGCGATTTTACTTCCAAATGCGTACTCAATGAGGTCACCCACGCTCAGCTAGCCTGACTACCTCCGGAGTCCGACCGGCACTGACGCTGCTGTTACCCTGTTGACGACGGTAGTACGTTCGGAGCTTCGCTATCTGGCAGAAAAATACATCATCAAACGCGACACCCGTGCAGCGTCAGCTACGTCTGCAGCGGTGAAGCAGCAGAACACATTCGGCACCTTTGGAGGTTTTCTTTGCCTGAAGCATGATGCTCTTTGAAATCAGCTGGGGAAATTGTAATGCAGAACTGAAATCCCTGTGCACTTCTGCATCATTCCATGATGTGATGTCGGGCAAGTTTCACCAAAAAAATAACGCAAGGTTATGACATGACGTTTAATAGCTACATAGACGTGGAGGGACAACTGCATGGAGCTATCGGCGCTTTTAATTTTGAAATAGTTTAGTTAGCTCTTGCTCAACCGATAGCACTCAGGGGCTTCGCCGATTTTTTTGAGGGGTGATACACAGGAGTAGGCATTGAGGATTCGGTAAGCGTAGGCTGTAGATTGAAATGGGTTCAAATCTGTACAATGACATTGCCATCCTACATTGTCTTGGATTGTTCAAACGACAGTCAGAAATAAATGTTGGAAAAGACAGATCAGGTAGCAGTGAACATGTGCGTTGCCAAATAAAAAAAACAAAAAAGCAACGCCCGGCGTTACAGCCTCCGAGGGCCGCACGGCGCCGCCCCCCCCCCCCCCCCCCCCCGGGCTAAAACGGGCAGTGACCAACAGACGGATAAAAGCGATAACGAGTCTGAAAGATATGTGACATATCTACCTTTGAGTGCTATAACAGCTCGGTTAGTACGTTTAGAAGCTAGTCCGGGCGAATGTTTCAATAATGCTGAAAACTGGCGGTGGAACTGGAAAAGTACAGGTAAAGTCTCTATTTTTTCGTATTGCTTTGCCCGCTGAACTGTACAAAGGCAAACCTTAAAATTTCGCAAATACAATACAAGGACAGTCTAATCTTTGAACGATACGAAATGATTTGCAAAGACTTTCGGAAGGATCATTTCACCACGGCAGACCTCGCGCACCCACAACGGCGGAAGCCTAGTGTTATGTGCAGCGGCCAACGCCGCTCGGTGTTCCTTCTCCTTGGATTACAAGCGCCGAGGCTCAAAACTTTTCATGCATTTTCTCAATGGTCGGTTCTGCACAAGAACTGACGACCTTCGGCAAACGTGGGTTCACCCTTTTCCATTTTTGACCTTAGTTTTGGTTCACCATCGAGCACCGATGAGACCCTTCTCTTCTTTCCATGCGAGGAGAAGCTCGTTATGTCGACAGCATGGCATACTTTCTGGCATTGTGGCATTTTGAGAAAGGTAACCATACTTTGTACATTAAAAAAAAAACGGTTTTCATATTTATGTGCTAGAACCATGACAGTTCTTCAACCTGAATTTAAAGCTCGGTAGACATCAATTGTTTTATTGATAATGTAAATAATGCAATATGCACTGCGATAACCCGCTTCAGTTTTCAATTGTTCTTCAATGCGGTCAAAATCCCCGCAACTCGTGTTGCCGCCACGTGGTGGTGTCCACTGTCGACCACCTTGCAGCGATTACGATCCGCCTGCCTCCTTACTCAAACGCTCTCCACTTTAAGAGCGGTGCTGAGGGTTGGGCGGTGAGGTACTGTGGTGTCCGATCCGCCGCATATGACGGTGATGAAACCTCTAGCACAGCGATGAGGTTATTAAAAAAGCAGGTTTGGGATACCGAACGGTTAAAATGGCAAAACATGCCCTTAAATACACAAAAACAGATTCTTCCCGGATATAGCCTAATTTCCTCTGAATGGTAATGATCTTGTACATTATTAAACGCGTGGTTATGGTTTCGGAAATCGAGTGTAAGGTAATGTGGGCGACTATCATAGGCTTCCACTAAAACCCCCAGCAAACAGCCGCAAGGCGGGCTTCAAACTGCAACGTAACATTCGCGACAGGCATGTTCGAAATGGTTAGTGTTGGTTTGTTGATCAAGGTCGATCAGCGCTCTCGGCCTACTCGCGCGGCGTCGGTCGTCAGGTTTTCGTACTGTTTCATTAAATATCCATGTCAAACTGGAGCGCAGCACCATTCGAGGATTCTT